GGAGAATTTGAAGGGGAAGGAGGTAGGGGGTGAGATAAGGAATGAGAGGGGGGTGGTGGTGGTGTATCAGGAGGGGTATCAGGAGGTGGAGGATCATAGTTGTGACATAAGGGATTCGCGTATATCCAGCAGGGAGTGGAAGGGATAGAGGGGATGGCGGGAGGGTTAATGTAGGTGAAGGCAGGAGTGATCCCCAGCCTTGGGTCCCAGTCTTTGTCTCCTAAGCCCCTCCACTGCAACAACAGGCATGGGATTGGGGGGGGAGGGGGACATCATGAACTGTGCAATTATTTGTCCCCTTTCTGAATAAAGTGCCATAACAAGCCTTGCTCTATGTCTTTGGGAGCCCAAAATTTGCAAATCTTTATTTTTTGCATTAAAGACAATTACACAAAAAATAACAAAAAAAAAAAAAAAAAAAAGACTAATAATGGCCTATCTATGGTACAACTGTTACTGCATGAACAACACCCTCTCTGGAAGGTAATGACTGGAAGGTCACTGTTTAAACCATAATAATGCTTTGTTTCTGAACCAAGAAGTATTTCTAAATTCTTTTCATTGAATCTGATAACTTAATAAGACTTCACATATAAGATTTTCATAAAATCAATCTTTTAACATGTAATTTATCTAAAGATGTTTTTTGTGGGAAAATGAAATTGGAACATACAGTTTTTGTAAACAAAATATTTACTTTTGCAAGATCTTTCAATATCATGGAGGGCCAGATTATTTCCATGAAGCACAAGTTGCCACATTCTTATCTTAGCACATTGGATTTAAGAGATTATTTTTTAGACTGTAATATATACAGTCAAAAATCAAATCTGCTCCTTTGTTGCTTCTCAGCATCACTGAGCACTCTTGGACCAACCTTGTTCAGGAGTAATCAGCACCCTTTGTTGGCCATAAGAATCTCAATTGTTCTAGATTGCTGGGGTTAGACATGAACTCAATTAATAATTTGTAATTTTCAACTACTAATTACCAGAATATATCTAAATACTAATGTGACAATTTCATTCGATTTTTCTCCATAATCCTATCAATCTTGGGAAGGTTAATATGATTTCTTCAGTGGTTTATGCTGTGTGTAAACATTTGAACATTTGAGCTACTGAATACTACCAGCATATTATAAGCATTTATTTTCTTATTCTATACAAGTCTCCTCACTGAGTTAACTTTGGAATTATATGAAAACAGTAAAAAGATCTTAAGTGTGAATTAACCCTTTCTTGGCAAGTGGCATGTACATACAAGCCATGGCATGCTTGGATTATATTCCGGGTGGTATGCGTATATATGCCATGGTGTGCCAGTCCCATTTTCCGGGGACATGTACAATCATGCTTTGCTGCCAACACGATCTCCCGGAGTGGCATCCGGGCCACAGCAAATACAACCTGAGAGAGAGGGCTTTCATATCAAGAGACCACCTGGCAGCATTGGGTTAAAGAGAGAGGATACATCACCTTCTACTTTCTAATTTAATTTCTTTATCTCTTTTATAATTTGCACTAAAGTTTTCTAAACATTTATTTTCTTTAACACATCTGTCTGAAAATATACAACTGCAATACTGCCCAATCCATATTCACAACTCCCAGTGACAAACTCAATTATGGTTCAAGACAAAAATAAAAGTCTGGATGTCTGTTAATAGTGAAAATCAAGAAAACATGTATCACAGACAAAATAATGGTACTGTAAAATCAATAAATTATACTCTGCCCTATTGCAACTAAGATTTAATATGACATTATAAAAATCTGTTGAATAGTTTCTTCTAAATCTACCCTTCCTCTTGTATCATTTCTTTATCTACTGTTTTACTCTATATAAAATTCTTGCTGACCATGGTTACCGTAACTCCAACTGAAATAGCCATTCAGTTCCAGCCATTCAACACAGGATGGATCATGAACAATAACGGAATGGAAAAAAAAAAAAAAAAAAAAAATTTAACAAAGATACCAACAATGCACTCATGATAAAGAAAATCACCAGCCACCAGATAACATAAGCAAAGCATCCCACAAACACATTACACATGCCTGGTATGGAGATAAAAGGTATTCCACTCCTTCCTCATGGTTGTTGTTGATGCTGTTGTTGTTGTTGTTGGCAATCACAACCTCTGGGTCATAGCAGAGCTCTTCCTCCTTCACTACTGTCGACATTTCTGACATCTCCTGAAAGTCACAAATAAAATTTTGGGAATATGGACATTACCCACTTAACAAGCACAGAAGTGAAAAAGAAATCTTACTACAGAATAATCTAAACCAATGGGTCAGTGTTCCTCACTTTGGCACTAGACTAAAATCCCCCAGCCATTAGGCTTACTTGATTGGGAAATCTTGTGGGTGAGTGGCTTGTAGCCCCCGCCGAGATTACTTGCTTCCTCTTTGCAATGCAATCAGCTCTTATCCTGGAGACATTTTATTATATTACCACTTTATGATGCCTATTGTGGTCATTCGTTAAGACTTCTTTCATAGAGCATATTCATATTATCTTTTCTGGTAGTTTATACACTGTGCAATAGCAGTAATAATAAGTAACATTATGCTACCTGTGTTATTTTTATAAGTTTTCAAGTAACTGAGTTTTCTATACCACAATCTACAGGTAATTGCAGATGGGAATAGGGTCCAGTGTGTGGACATAGTGTCTTATCTAGAGCCAGCACTCACCCAGGCATGACTCCCTGATGGTACATACCCTCCTTGTTTAGTAACATCACCTTGTAGCTGGTAACCATATCATACCCACAATCAAATGTAATGTAGTCTCCCCCTCCTACATTGATCAACCTTCCTTTAACTATTTACCCAAAACCTTTGACTGTGCATGAATTCAGAACACAGAGTAAAAGGTTATATAAACATCAGAAAATATCTAATTGTAAAGAATAAGTGTTAGTACTGTATAGGAATGACGAGTTGAAGATTAATGATTGAAGCAAAAAATGTGTTAGGCATCAAAAGTTAAATAACACTACATTAAAAGTATTGTGGTAAAAAGAGTAAAAGAGTGAACCATTAGGTCAGAATGTGCTACACATTCAAGGCTGTAGACAGAGATGGGCAGTATCTCAATACACATCGATCAACACTATATCTGTATTGGCATCCGCCTTAGTTACTCAATTACAATATTGTTTTATCACTAGGATGCTTTTCTCAAAATGTATTTTAAAAAATGGACCAGTACTTTTACGTGACCAATTTGAAATCAAAATATTTTTCATGAATCGCAAAATGACCTGTCTCCTCTCATTTCCAATTCTTATTTGTGATTTTTATTTATTCTTCTGGTGTCTCAAGTGCCATGGAAAATAAACTAGGGTAGTTTATTTTTTGTTCGTTTGTTGTTTTATTTGTACTGTTTATTAATACACTTATTTCTTGGGAAGGCATTGGATTAGCCTTAATAGAAAATAAAATTAGTGTTTTCAAATTGTGAAGGATGCCATACAACAATTAGTTTTTGGCAGAAGTCAATTTTCTTTCCATTATGCACAGTGCAACGCAAGATCATAAATATGTAATTTGAATATATATAAATACCATAGATTGTTCATTGTTCAAATGTTGATGGCACCAGTAACAAGTTCTTTTATTAGTTAACTGAGGACACTTCATGACAAGTTTGTTTTGTAATGCTTAGGAACGACTTCAAACGTGAAATACAGGCCCATCTGTCACTAACAAATTGCATGATTAAGGTGCTGTATAGAAAGTATTGAAATATGCTTCATTCATTCAGCCCCTTAATATGTTACCAAGGATATAGTTGAATATTTCAGAAATATGTCTATCTACTATAGGATCCCTATCACAAATTAAAAAAAAAAAAAAAAAAAAAAAGATAACTGATAATTTGTATATTTTCTTATTCATAAGGTACATATACCCAGGTAGCTCCACTTCCATTTTGCCTTTTAAACATGAAATTGAAATAGATTTTTACACAAAAGTATTCTTGGTGGCTTTTAACCCTTTGCTGACGGGCATAGCATGTACGTCCATGCTATGCCCATTGTGAGTTTACCTGTTTAATTGTTTTTACACATAGATGGCAACACTTTTACTAAATCACCAATAAGCCGGCTACGAGTACCGCCTGTCTCACCTGTTCACCCTTTTCATCGACTTACGAAAATATTTAATGTTATCTTATTTTGCTGTTACAAATGTTTTTAACATTATAGTAATTATAATGTTTAATATAAAAATAACACCATCTATATTTATAGCACTAATAAAAATACGTATTTTGCACCAATTCAAGGCAAGGTGAAATCCTTTATGGCTAAGCACTAGCAGAGCCATCTAGTAACAGGGACATTTCACAAAAATATAAAAAATGAGCAGAGAATTTCCCCCATTTTTTATTCATTTTCCCCGTAGGGAAAGGGTTAATGTTAGGGAATTCTTAGCTATCATAAATAAAAAAAGGGGAATTTTGGTTTTACAACTAATTACTAAAGTGATAGAGTAAATTATACAAATAATTATTATCTAACTTAATCTCATATCTCATGGCGTACTCTCATTGGCTAGACATGGTGATGTCATTAGCTCCAACCTTTTTTTACCCCAAAAATTTAATGAAATCTAAAAAATATTTAACATCTAAAATGAATAAAGGTAAGGGGGCGGGGCTTAGCTCAGAAATTGTTAAATAGGATTTTCATGAAGAGTGGGTCTACCTTATTCATGTTTTTCTTAAAAAACATCATTTAACTATTTACCCAAAAGCTGTGGCTGTGCATCAATTCTGAACACAGAGTCAAAGGTTATGTTAACATGAAGGTTAAGGGGAAGGCCATGTCTATGGAAGGTAATCTTGGCAGCATCTGGGAGAAAAGTAAGGCTTACAGCAGCATGTGGGAGGAACACTGCAGCACTGTATTGATGCTGCACTATTCTCACCAAGGTAGGCAAGCAGGATATTTTCACAGTCTGACCAATCATTGACATAAACAGGGTAATTAGCTAGGGAGATGGAACCAGTTCTGGTACAAGAATTAAGCCAGAAGTGAGGCTGGGCAGGGATAGGTTTGCCAGTGCAGTCAGACAGGCTAAATGGACATTGTTGGAAGAGGTGGGTAATGGCAGAGTAAGGGGTTGAAGGGGGAATCATAAAGAATCAATCCCACTTTACTGGGCTAAATATAGTACTCAAAAGGTTTGTAGAAGGACAAGGGCAGGAGGAATAGGGAGTGGTGTGGAGTGAAGTATTACTACAGGGAGGAAAATAAGGGTGAAGAATAGTGATATGAGAGAAGTGGGTTGACAATGAAAGAGACTGTGCAGGAGATGATAACCAGGCATGGGATTGGGAGTACAGAAAGGAAGAAATGGTTCAGTGTTGTGGAGAAAGAGATATTAAGGGTACTTGGGAGATGAACTATCTAAGAGATAATTTCCATCTCATTATCCTTGCAGAAAGAATGAAAATCAAAGGAAATTTCTGTCCCACTGATGCTGGGAGGACATAAAATACATGCCCAGTTCACTTTAATTTTTGGCTATCAATTTTATCTTTACACAGATCACTCCAGAAACAATTATTCACAAAAAAAGTCAATTACTATCCCTTCCTTGTCTCACCTGCTTACCTTTGTTCTTGATTTTTTATATAGTAATATTAGTATTGTATTATATGAAAGACATGAAGAAGGAACAAATGAGTACACCAAACCATGAGAGGCAAAGACATATATTAAAAAGGATATACTAAAAAAATTAAGCTAAGCTCTGTCAGAATATTTAGAACATCAGCCTCAAAAAGAATGAAATAAAAGGCCTTTTAAAAGGGGTTAGACAAGGCTAAAGCAGAAGCATTCTTAGAGTACGTGCTAAAAAACAAAGTACTATTAACCCAAATTATCCTGTTTAACAGCCCTGACTATACCCCCACCCAGAATACATCAAGTTTTAATTTGGGCCAGCCTGTTTTATACCCGGGATATTAATTAGGCTAGGTTAGTTTATACCCCCAAGTATACAAAGGGCTTGGTCAGAATTTACCACCCTAGGCCAGAATATACCTCTTCCTTTTGCATATATCAAGTATATAATACACTGCCAGAAGATAATGGCTGTTGTTAATAACTATCATGCAGTGATCTCACAACAGCAGATATCCCTGTGCACTGATTTCAACAGGCCAGCATATTAAACTCAAAATTGTAATACTTATTCACAGGCATAACTTCTGGGAACATTCTGTCACTGATCATTTTGCATGCTGTACAGGCTAAAATGTACATTTACATTTTTGTGGCTAGGGTCTGGATGAGCATTCAGTTGATGATGGACAAAATGTACTGATCATTTGTGAATTTGTTACTGATTTCCAGTTTTATGTGGCCTGTCATCGTCATCATCACCAATATGATGATGATGATGATGATAATAACAATGATAATGAAGCAATAATGATAATAATGACAAAACTAATAATTATCATTACAATAATGATGATAATTACAATAATTTTCATAATCACCATAATTATTATTGTTGTCGTCGTCGTCGTCGTCGTCGTCGTTGTCATCATCATCATCATCATCATCATCATCATCATCATCATCATCATCATCATCATCATCATCATCATCATCATCATCATCATCATCATCATCATCACTATTTTTCCCCGGGGGTATAAAGTGGCCAAGTCAAACTTATAACCAAGGTAGAAAACATCCTAGCTTAAAAAAAGCCCATATATATATATTCTGGGCAGGGGTATAGTCAGGACTGCTACACCAGGTGTTTCCCTGCCTACGCGTCCTAAATCCAGGCTTTACACTTGCTTGAGTGGTGACTCTCCCAGGCGTGTGGATACTTGGCCTGGCCAACATGCACACTCAAGTGCAGTGTCCAATTTTTCTTGCCTCTCCTTTGCAATGTTATTATCTCTTTCTCTAAATGAGTTTTTTTTGCTTTTATATCATTTTCCAAGGCCTATATTTGTCATTTGATATGCTGTATTAAGAAGGTAACAGCCAGTTTTCCTTTCCTGAGCATGACAACAAGCTGGCATTCTTCCAGTTACAGCTCACAGATAGTATTTGTCTTTCTTTATCACTTTCAACTATTCTTATTAGTTAAATCTGGGTTTATCTGGTTCCCTCAACCTCATTTGGAGGCTTGATCTAACATCTCTACAGCTCAAATTCGGAATATCAATAACACGTTTACCAATAAGAATTCATGAATTCAATTTTTACCTCCACCTAAAATGGGATAAAATCACAGTATCATTACCAAGTCCCTAAAGAAATGTAACATGAATAATGAGGTTAAAAATGTTAAATTATATAACTGCTAAATATCAGCACAATACTGAAATGTACTAACCTGCTCCTCATGCTGCAAAGTCTCCGATGCCTCTCTTATTTCCTGATGCTCACTGCTATTGACAGATTCTGCTTCATTGCCCACTATTTTTACTACAGCTTCCCTTGCCGACACT